ACTTCGGTAACAAGAGCGACCCCGACCACGACGGTATTGCCGTACCTTCCCCGTGTGCGAGGCTTTTTTCGAAAAGACGTTTGCTGCGAAGGGCGGCGGCCGTGAAAAAACTTGGACGTCATCAGCGACATGTACGTTGCCTTTGTTGATATGTGAACTAAGCTCTATGGGGCTGAAGGTATTTGTTGTCTTTAGCGTTTTCTTCTATATCCCTATCTCCCCTGGTGTACTGTCGGCAATTTGTCAGGCCGATAAGCGCTCATTGGACGTGCAAGCTCTGCCGAACGTCCAACACTCTCGTTTATTTTGTTCCCGACGCGTTTCCAGTCTTTAAAATCATTTTCCCACATTTTCAGCGTCCCCTGAAGTTGCTTCTAGGCAGTCGACGCGCTGGTGGTTTGTCGCAAGCTATTTATGTATGAACCCGTGACGTCAAACAAACCGACATTCACATGGAACGCTATTTGTTCTTTGTTTCGTGTCTCAGGTCCTAGGAGAGCTTTATGCGGTTCGGCTTGGAATACGTTGGGCCGATCCTCTCCACCGAGAGTTTTGATCGTCAGGAAGATGCTAAGCGCTACCTCAAGCCGTGCTTGTTCGCGGACGAGGGGGCAGGAGGTGGAGGAGGTGACCCAGGGGCGGATGGGGGTGGAGGGTAAACTAAAGATGGGGACCGGGATGTTCTTCGTCTCCGAGCGAGAAAAGCGATGGTCTTGATGACTACGCTGGCTACAAAACCTTGGCGGACACCTAAACCGTGTTGACAAGGTATGTCACGTGTCTTGTCCTTTCCAAAAATCGTGCCACTTTTGCTCCCTCTTTTGCTCTGCCTGCGATGATGTTGGATGCTTGCGTGTTTCTTGTCGTGCATCAGTTATGCCCGCGGCTTCCTATAATGTACACCCTTCCTCATCCCAGCGTGTCCGTTGGCGACCCCTGATGTTTGAATGTAACTCGCCTCCCTTCAAAGTAGTTTCTCCGGGGTGCGTAGCTTATCCTCGTCTCTGACGTATTCTACGACCTGCGGTTGTGCTGTCGGTTTGTGTGTCCCCCCCCATGCCTGCTTGCAAATATTATTGTTGACAACGTACATCTGTCAGCTATACCAAGAACTATACTGCAGCAAAGGGGGAGAGCATGCCCTCCATTTCTCGAAAGCCCACTTTTATCCTCCTCTCACACTTCAATATTATTTCGCTGCTGATCGGTAACCTCCAGGTCGAGTCGCCGGGGCCTCCGCTGCAACATCGTTCAAAGCGTTTCCTCGGGTCCTCATGACGTTCACAACGGGTGGAAGCTTTGACGGAGGAGGCGGAGAAATATCCCGCTCGCCATGTCTCACAGCTTTTTTTTTTAATCATATGGTGCTATGATACGCTTTTTGCTCTCGCTGGTGCATGAGGGCGCCTGGCGCGGGATGAGAGCCAGGTGTTTTCTTACTGTGTCTGCAAGGGCGTTTGGAATCTGTCGCTGCAACCTCTTGGCTTCGTCCGCGCCCTGTTTTGTTTGTGCGAATTGTAGCTTTTTTGGGGGAGGGGAGAGGGGAGTTGTTTCGATGGTGTTGGGAAAGTAGAGAGGTCTATTTCTGCAGTCTCTGCATGGTTTTTGGAGGACACCGCTGTCACAGCTCAGGCAGTGACGTTTTTTCTTGACTAGAGTTGGTTGTATAATTTGGGACGGCCAGGGTGGGAGGGGGTTCTGTGTTTCGTGTCGGGAGAGACGGTCGTTTCTACCTGTGCGTTTGGACAGCACTGCTGCCGCTACGTGTAGCTGTTGCCTCCGGCTGAGTTGTGCTTCCTCACAACAAACAAATGTAGTTTGTTGCGGGGATTGTGGGTCGTCTCCATGATCGACGTCGCTGACGGTCATGGGCCAGGGCATGCTGTTGTTGTGGGGAGATATCCAATACACAGAACGACGTTCGAAAGGGTATGTATGTATTGTTTAAATTTGAAGTGCACCTTTTATAGTTCTCGCTTACATGTCGTGCAACTTGGGATGTTGACGACCCTGGGTCGAGATGATAAGCCGCGGGCGGAGATGGGTTTATGCTAGAGCTGGCAACATGCGTATGATGCATGGGCACGGGATGTCGTTGTTTCAGGAGTTTGCTCGGGAATGTACCGACGATAAAATTGTAGTGATTCGAATACAGGGGGCGAAAAAACAAATAAAACATGAACAAAAAAAAGACGTATTGCAGGGGAATTGAACCCGCCACTACGGTGTTGAGCACTGCTGTTTGTTGTAGACCGGCCGCATCTTGCGCAACCTCTATGAGAGGGTACGCATTGCAATACGCAACCTGCCCCCTACCGGCTTGTGCGCAACGCGCCAACTTGAAAGAGAGGGTACACCTTGCACGATTACCGGCAACCTGCCCCCCAACTGGCTTGTGCGAAGCGCGCCAACCTGCAAAAAAGGGTACACCTTGTCATACCATAGGCAACCTCCCCCCTAACCGACTTGTGCATGGCGCGCCAACCTCCAAGAAAGGGTCCACCTTGCGCTGCCATCGGCAGCCTGCCCGCTGTCCAGCTTGTAAGCAGTGCACCAACCACAAGAAATGGTACACCTTGCACCGCCATCGACAGCTTGACCCCAGTCCAGCTTGTTAGCAGCGCACCAACCACCAAGAAAGGGTACACCTTGTACTACCATCGGCAACCTGCCTCCTATCCGACTTGTAATAGCGCACCAACCACCAAGAAAGGGTACACCTTGCACTACCATCGGCAACCGCCCCCTATCCGGCTTGCAAACAACGCGCAACCCCCAAGAAATGTGTACCTTGCACAACCTGGCCATCGTTGCATTGCAAGGATTACCCAAGGTGGGGAGGTTGCAACTCGTGCCAAAATAAATCTCGATTCAGGTTGGCAAAAGTGCCCTCCTTACAACCCGGTCTGTTGGCCACCCGTGCAACCACACGAGCCTCTTGACTTGAAGTGTCGTCTGGGTTTACCTTGAAGACCCCACGCGAACCGATAGGAGATGCTAGGGTTGAGGCCCGCCGGGTACCCGGGTTGTTTGGGTATCCGGCTATTTTCCGGATAGAGGGCCCGAACTCGGTCTCGGGTAACCCGCAACTTTCGGGAAAATATATCCGGGCCGGTACGGGTACCCGGGTGCCCGGGTACCCCCATGTATGATGTACTTGTATACTTGTTGCTGTTTTGGGGTTAGAGTCTAGTCTAGGGCCTCTGTTTGCTCTTCCTGTCCCTCTGTGGTGGCGAATCGCCCTCGGCACAGAGAGGCATCCTCTAGGCTATTCATCGTGACCCCGCCCTGACTCTGCATGGTTACTCAACAAAGGTAGTAGGTAGAGTAGGTGATACTTCGAGGAGAGTACAGTAGGAAGCTAGTAGGGTACCGGGTACTGAGTCAAGAAATATCTGACTTGGTGGACCAAATATTATTTGTGTGTGCACCGTAAGGTGCAAACATTCCCAACCCCCCCGAAGTAACGGGTACCTGGTACCCGCCTCCAAACCTCCAAATATCCGGCGGGTATTAGGTGAGGCCCGAACCCGGTTCGGGTATTTGGAGAGCCGGGCCTGCCCACCGCCGGGAGTACGGGTACCCGACTGAAACGGGGTTGTTGGCAACTTCGTGCTCCTTGGGATCGCGCAGCTCCTTTTTCATCGCAACTTGATCGCAGCCTTCATTTTGCCACCGGAAGGAGAGTGCAAGCTTTGGAACTCGTTCAGTGTAGGTAATGAAAGCTGGCATTACGAGCGATGCAGCGGCGTTCGAAAACTAACACAGCAAAGTGCTAAAAAATATTATACAAGCTGGTCTGACCAAGACGCAAATTTGAAGCTTGGAGCGGATTTCCCACGCGGTTTTTTCGAGTTAGAACCTGAAATTTTGACACGGCATCTGCATGAGTACTATAAACACAAAGGCCACTGCGCCATTTGGATTGTTTTTTTATTTCGTAAGTTGGGCTGATATTAGTATTCATGGGAATATTTGCTATGCCAAAAAGTCGCAGAAAAAAAGAAAAAAGTCAAATGGCGCAGTGGCTTTTTTGTTTGTTGTACTCATGGGGATGCCGTGTCGAAATTTCAGCTTCTAATTCGAAAAAACAGCGTGGGAATCGCGAGATCCTTACGTTGCCTCAGGTATCTCGTGTGTTGTATCGGATTCTTTAATAAGCCATAACTTCTGATGGAAGATGCCGTGAGCCTTGAAACTACCATCTTTGCTCTCGCGATGTTCCCAGGTACATGCACAGCAATTTTCAGCTTGATCTGAGAAACTTTTTTTCATGCTGATTTCAGTACAGGAAGTATCCCAACTATGCCGCCAATTGATAGTTATATGCCTAAAATCAACTCAGATCCGAAAAATTCCGGCACCCGCGCATCCCCTATGGTCTTATACGAGCACCCGCCAAATTTGAATCTAAATTCGTTGAAACAGCAGAGTGGGACATGAAAGAACGAAAGTTAGCTTCTTGGTCAGACCAGCTTGTAATAAATAGCTGTCTCAAAGCCCCCTGCCTGCTGCTTCTGAGGCAACTCGTTGACAGTATAGACTACATGAGCCGCGGATGCAGGCCCTCGTGAGCAAAGGCGGCGATCTTCGCATCCGGCAGACGTTGATCTCGCCCACCATTTAAAGCGGGTACTCTTCTTCGGCGTATGTGTCCGGGGCGTCATCTTTGTCATCAGTCCTGATATCAAAACTTTGTGTCAAGATACAGCAGCAGTAGACGGCAGCAGGCGGGATGGGCAAAAAAAAACGGAATACGTGTGTGATTGCTGTAGAAATGTAGAGTCTGCATGGATCTGCGATGCTAGGGAGCCAAAAGACACGTTGGAGAGAGTATCCTATAAGGTGCTCGTGGGGAGCTTTGGACATCAGAGATCAACCGGCTAAGTGCAGGATTTGAAATTTTGAAAAACCTGACAGTGCCGCCTGGGGAGGGGGGATTTCAGGGGGGCACCGTCGATCAATGGGTGCAGTGAGTTGCACGCACAGCAGCAGCAGCGGTTAATTTGCTTGCTCGGTTGCTCGGCCCTTGTGATGGTACTTCCAACATTGTACACTCTGCGTACGCTCCTGCTTCTAACTGCTGCAGTCCTTCTGTCGTACGCCGGCAAGCCTGCGAGCGGCATGAGGATATCTGTAGTCACGGGAGCAAATAAAGGTACGACACAGCGCCGTATGACTGCTGCACACATTGTAGTCTACAATGGGTTACTGACATGCACCATGTGAGAGAGCAAATAGATCCGCATGTGCCCCCCATCGTGACAAGAAAATAAGGGGCACTTGCATGGGTTCAAAAGGTCGGTCAACCGTTTTCGGTCAGGTTGGTCCGATAGCCCAATGTTTTGCGGTTGGAAACCGTGGAGATATATTCACCGCGGTACCTGGCTGCGGTCTACAACCAACTGCATCGAGTCGATCAGTCCTTGGCAACAGTCTCTACTGTAGACTACGGGCCATTTCGTTATGAAATCACCCGAGGACCACCGGTACAAAGCATAAAACGCCTCCAGCACATCAAACTCTTTGTTTCTCTGCGTGCAATCGCCCAACATGGACCTCGCAGTATTTAACAGTAGTTTAAACGTTTAAACTGACTCTTGATGGAGGACCAGCCAGATGTACGCGTAATTTCAAGTCATGATTTTTCGGAGATTTTTAGGTTTACTTGCAGTTTGGTTCAGTGGTATGTAGCCTTGGCAGGGTTTTTCGATGATTTTAACATGTTGAATACAGCGTACGATCGGGGAAGTTGAGTTAGGGTTAGGGAAAAAAATAGGGTCTGCGTCCCCCCTCCCTACAATATTCTATTTCCTCATATACTTACAGAAGAAAAATCTCGCGACGGCGGTCCTGGCGCGTGCTGTGCTCTCCTTCTTTCCTTCCTTGTGTTCGGTTTTGGATACATATACACGCACCCAAGGAATTGGCCACCCCAGAAGGACCGAGCGAGCGCGTCGCGCACAACAGAACGAACGAAATTTATTTTACCCTCCTGTGTGACCCTGGATGGTTGAAGTTGTACGAAACAATGCACTGAAAGTACTCTACTACACTGAAGAGTGTAGACTCTACTACACTGAAGAGTGTAGTACACGTCTCACCACGAAAAATGGGGGGAGTGTCGCCATAGTAAAATAGGGCGAAAACACACACTTCGAATAGGCGTAGCCTGACTACCGACGTAGTACCGTACCAACACTAGTTGGCCGATCCCACCGCCCCATCCCGGCGGTGTTGTCGAAAACACCTCCCTCGGCATGTATTCTGAGAAACAAACCCCGCCGTGCATCTGCTGTCATGTGGGTGGCTGGTTGGACGGCCCTTGGGGGGAACAGGGATTGGTCTCGCCATCGCCAAGAAGCTCGCGGGTGCCCCCGGGCACTTGTGCGTCCTGACCTCCCGCACGCCAGCCCTCGGCCAGAAGGCGGTGGACGACCTCAAGGAGGAGGGGCTGGAGTCGGTGGTCTACAAGCAGCTGGACATCGGAGACCCGGCCTCCGTTGAGGTCGGTCCTTTGGTTTCTTGTGGTACTCTTTCTTGTTGTTTCTACAGTACTGTTGTAGGAGCACCCTTGTTCCTAGAATAGGCAGCGGTGGTGGTGGTCGAGAATGGAGAGAGAATCACACGTACGTATAACGTTGACGACCGTTTGTTTTCGTGTGTGTTTTCACCTACGGAGTCGCCCTCGAAGAGCGGGGTAGTGCTGGGTGGGCAGCACGAGAGACCGCCCGAGAGCACCCAGAGGAAAGGGAGGCAAACAAAGGTTGCAGCGAAGAGCCTCGCCGCTCGACTGAGACGGAGAATTGTTTTTTTGTTGAAGGGTAAGCGCTGATCTAAAGTGATGAGAGAGAAAAAAAAAGAAAAGGTAAGGGGGTACCGTTGGGCGATGAAGAACGGCAGTGTCAAGAGGACGGATGCAAGTTCCCCCATCTTGGACATCATTCGTCTCGCCTCTGCTCAGCCGCCATTCGTTGTCATTGTGCACTCCGTGTTTTCTCGTGTTTCGTGGCTTGCCCCCGTGACCCTATAGTACAGCAGTACTTTCGAGACCTGCTCGCGCACCGACCCTGTTTTTTTTTTTTTTGCCTGCTGCTCCTTTTTTTCGAAGCGCTTCGCCTCGGAGTTGGAGCAGGAGTTCGGGAGGTGCGACGTCCTCGTCAACAACGCTGGGATCGCCTTCAAGGGTTCAGATCCAACCCCGTTCAAGTGAGAAGAGGAGGGAAAGCGAGATAGGGAGGGGGAGAGAGGCAACGAGGCAGAGAGGCAGGCGCTGAGAGCCAGAGCTAGCTGTGTGCCAACGCTGCCGTGGTGTGGTTCCTCCGCCCCCCCTCTCTCTTTGTCGCCTTCAGTGTTGCCTCTGATGTGCAACTCTTTCTAACATTCGAAGAAAAAAAAAAGTTGTACTGCGTGCCTGGACTTTGAGACATTTGCCACCCTGTTTGCAAGCCTCTCCATCATGGTCTGCCGGTTTTCGACAGGGGGCTTGTTTCTACTACAATAGGAAACCCGAAACGTGTGTGTTTCCCCCCCCTCGAAACAAAATGAAGATATCGGGGCAAAGATCATGCTTTGGAACTCTACCAGCTATTTCCAGAATTATCGGCCATCTTGACCAGGACGTTGTTGGTAGACCACGACGGGCTTATTCGTGGGCAGCAGCAAGATTGTTAGTGAAGGAGAGGCACACCGGAGGGAAGACACCGCTGCAATTTTGCGGTTTCGAAGCGGTGCCTTACCGCGAAAGCCACTCAAGGGAGAGAATTTCCAGCGGCTGTTTCTGATTGTTGTGCGGGCCGCATACGGATGGATACGCGGGTCACGCAACCCCGAGTTTAACGGCATCGGAACTGCCACCATCTTAAGTTAATACCTCCAGGCTCATAAAACGATAAATCCAGGAATCTGACCATGCTGAGGACAGGTGCTTGATCATGGCGCCTACCCGAGGCCCTGCGTAGTCGATGTCGTGATACCTTTACCACACGAAAGAGAACCAGAAGCGAGCGTCGAGACGTGCTGAAGTGTGGTGGTGCGCTCTAAGAACTCCACTACTACTTTCAAGAATCTCTTGAGACTTTTCGACCCGTGTTTGGAAGCGATCACCTGAATAGGTTTGCCGACCGTTTGACTGCACCTTCACCCTTGACCGCTCTCTCTCGTGTCGTGTCGTGCACTGCTGTCCAGGGATCAAGCGGAGCCGACGCTGAAGACGAACTTTTTCGACACCGCTGCGTTCACGGAGAAAATGCTCCCGCTCGTGAGAAAGTGAGGTGGCTTCTTGGAATCATTCAGGGGGTCGACCCCCCCCCGCGCCCCCCCGGGAGCAGTCTTTGTTTTGCCTGTTGCCGTTTCCCTTCATTGCTGGTATGGTTTCTTCTCCTTGTAACTATTGATTCTTGTAACTTTTGATGCAATCGTTCTTGCTGCACATTGCTGACGGGGATTTTTTTCGCCCTTGTCTTTTCGCCCTCTCTCTCTCTCTTGTTAGTTTTCTTCTTGTTGATTGGCCCGATACTGTGTAGGTGTATTTTTCTCTGAGCGAAACAACGTTTGATGCGGCTCGAATGATTGTGATCGTGGGTACCTGACAGGAGCGACGCCGGCCGAGTCGTTAACGTTGCCAGCATGGCCGGCCACCTGTCCATCCTGGGGAGTCAGGACCGAAGGAATGCCTTCACCAACCCCGCTCTCACGAAGTAAGAGAAGAGGCGTTTTCTTTGAGTGAGTTATTGGCGCCGTATGGCCGTCGTTTGCCGCCGCCATTGTTGGTGCTGATGCTGTCGTGCTGATTGATGGTGACGATTTTTGTGCTGGTTGTTGCTGCTGTTGTCGTCGTTGTTCTTGTTGTCGTTGTCGTTGGTGGTGGGGTTTTTGTTGTTCTTGCTCATTTTGTTCTTGTTCTCGTTGTTGCTGTTGTTGCTGGTTCTGCTGGTGTCCTCGTTGTTGCTGTTGTTGCTGGTTCTGCTGCTGTTGTCGTTGTTGTTCTTGTTGTCGTTGTCGTTGGCGATGGCGTTTTTGTTGCCCTTGCTCATCTTGTTCTTGTTCTCGTTCTTGTTCTCGTTCTTGTTCTCGTTCTTGTTGTCGTCCGAGCTGTCGCGGGTTGTTGGTCATAAAAGAGCTGCGTGAACCGAACCGGTGTGTACATGCTGCTCTTTGTGCACGTCTACAACTGACGCCATCTACCTGTAGCGGCGTCGAGTCCAATTCCGTGCTGCGCGATACCAGGGGAGATGCGCAGCTTCCGTCTTGAAGTATTCCGTACCCCGCTTGGGTTTCGCCTTTGGCCGTTGGGGATCTAACTATGCGTGAGGTATGCAGTCGATACAGAGACCAGGGCGTTATTAGTGAGAATACAACAACAGCCAACCGCATGCGCCCCCAACAGGGAAAGGTTGTCTGCCATGATGGCGCAGTTCGTCGGCGACGTTAAGGCCGGCCGGCACCAGGGCGGCGGGTGGCCCAACACCTGCTACGGCATGAGCAAGCTTGGCGTCATCGCCTACACCAAGGTGAAGCAAGGCGGCGGCGTCGATGTTTGAAAGCGGCTCGCGCACGACCTCGAGATGGCCCGTCGTGCTTACGCCACGTAGAAGCAGCTCCGACATAACTGCTCTTCGTGCAACACGGAGAAAAAAACATTCCGACCCAGAGATCACTTCAAGCGGTGTCTACGATGATCACCACTGTTGTGCACAAGCGAGTATTGTGTGAGGGATTAGTTGCCTGTATGAGGTATTGCTCATCATCAGCACTGTTGTGTCATGCAACAGCAGCAGCAGCAGTAGCGATGTATTGCGCTCCTTTTTTTTTCTTGGGCGCAACCAGATGCTCGGGGAGTGACACCATTCATCGTGGGGCACTGCATGACCTGACCCATTCTGATTTCGGCGTCTCGAGACGTGTGCGTAGTCTCAGCACGCGTACTACCTTAGAAATCATGGAGATGTGGAGACCCCCCCTCCCCCCCCCTCCCCTCCGGTCTGGTTTCGTGCCCGTGGCCAAAGGTTGAGCAGCTCGACCCGTGCCAGCGAACACATGCGTGAGAATGCCCCATTGCAACGATACAATAAAGCGGGGTGTGACGGTGTGACGTGGCTGAATCCAAGGGTCGATTGTTGCACATTCTTCGCGATAAAACGCAGCAGTATCATGATAATGATGAGCTGTGTGTCTCTCTCTGTTATGCATAGAAAATCCGTTTTGTGGTGTTGAGGTCTAGCGGTGATTGTGTCGCAGCTCTGCCGAATCGTGCGTCTAGTTACCTCCGTTGTTTGTTTGTCACTGGTCTTTCCTGATTCGTTTTTTGTTCTGGCCGTTTCAGGTTGCTGCGAGAGTCGAGCGAGAGGCGGGCTCAACCGTGACAATAAATGCGTGCTGCCCAGGTGAAATGGGATATATATGTGTTTTCTTTTTTTTTTCCATGTATTGTACTTACCGTATATGACACAAGATAACACACCCCCTGGACCGATTTTCAAAGCTCGATTACTCCACGACGAAGAGGATGCATAAATGAAACAATACGTTTTCGAACAGCTCTCGACGAGACGGTTCCAACGCCGCCGTTTTCGGCGCTGTGACTCTTCCTGCTGTTGAGAAATCGAGCTTTGAAAATCGGCCAAGGGGGCGTGTTATCTTGTGTCATATACGGTATTTCGTGTGATGCCATGTACATCGATTTTTTTTTTTTTTTTGTCGCATGGGATGCCCGTGCCATACCCTTCCCGAAGGATTTGTGCTTGGTGTGCCGTCCGAGTTCTCATTCGCCGAGTGCACTTTTTTTGCAGTGCCACCACCAAAATTTAAAATTTAGTACATCCCCCACCTCTTATTCCGGCCGAAACACCCCCTGTCTTCTTTTTAGAAAGTACACATAATCTCACAGAAAGACCACCCGTTCGAGACAATACCACAGTCGAAGGGGATGTGTTGAACTCTTGACAGTGAGTGGAGAAAAACCGGCTGTCTTCTTTTGTCGCTTTCTCTTTTGTGTTGCAAATACCTACCGCGCGCGGCTACATTTAGGATACTGCGACACCGACATGACGTCGCACCGTGGAACGCTGACCCCCGAGGAGGGGGCCCGAACACCCTTCATGCTCACGCAGATGAAGAGCGTCGACGAGGGGGGGCTGACGGGGGAGTTCTTTCGCAAAGAGGCCCTGGCGGAGTGGTAAAAGAGATCTGGCGGAGTGGTATGTGTAGTAGAGATGATAAAGCGTTGGAGCGATTAAAAATGACAACAGGCAGAAAAAAAAAATGGCCGAGAGAGGAAAGGCAGTGTAGAGCTATGAAAGCTTGCGTTGTAATCGTGTAGCGTGCGAATGGTGTGGGTGACTCTTGTTTTGCCTCTGTTGTGGATTGTGTTTGGGGGGTGATGGCAAAGAATGCGTGCATGTCTACCGGTGAAGCTTGTTCTAAGCGAACGTTGTTGCCGTCGAGTGCATCGCGCTCTTGTCTTCTCGTTGAACCGCTGGGTTGCAGAGGAGGGCAGACAAAAAACGTGGTGTTTTTTTTCACGCGGAGACAGGAGAAACGCGGGGAAGCTCCCGCGTAAAGTGGTATTTTCCGAAGCAACTGGAAAGGTCTCGCGAAAACTTCCGCGGGAAACTCTGGACCTTACGCCCTCTACATGTTTCCGCGGGAATTTTTCGCGCGGGGTTCCCCCCGGGTGATGTTTCTCGTCCAGATTTTTTTTTTTCGCGTGTGTGTTTGCCACCTAGATTAGACTGCAGGCTCGGTGGTGCTCGTGACCGTGACGGGGAAGGGTGGATGATGTCACACGTCGACCATGGATTTTTTGGCCAAAGCAGAAGTCTCCATTAAAAAAAATGACCAATCAGAAAACTGCGGGCGCCTGATTGCCGCCGGTTCACAATTCATCGGCAGCCTTGTGTTGTGTAGAGGGAGGACCGTGCGCCGAAGGAGAGGTGGGGGCCTACACCAGTAGCAAACCTGAAGAGGGCTGCTGTGAGTTGTTGCGGATCTTTCCTGAACAAGAGAGAGAGAGAGAGAGAGACTGAGAAAGTTCCTGCGACATGCCTCCGGTCAAACCTTGGATCACCGGCCTCTGCATGGCCCGAGATCCTCGCACGTTAAAAACGACAGGTGAACAAGGAGAGGAGGAGACTTCTCCGGACGCACACACAAACCGCTCAGCACTCCACCAATCAAAACTCCACACATGATTTCGATACGCTCGGCCCTGCTTCAGACGGACGACGAAGTCAACGCGCCTGCTATTTCCTCACGACATCTCACACCCCCACCACTTCAGCAAAATCCGGCAGCTGCCTCCCCCTAGCTCCATGCGCTGTACCGATACCTGATTCTGCTGTGCCCCCTCCACTCACAACCGCAAGAACAACCAAAATTTCCAGGAGCAGGGTCGCCGGACGAAAACATCAATATGGAGTCAAACGTAGAGGAATATGTATACCTCTGATGATGCATGGCATCACGACTCGAAATGTTTCAACACGGAGGCTACTACCTGCGCCCGATTAATGTACAGAGGCCGCCTCTCTATGGGGGGCGCGGGAGATGACGGTTTCGGGTTGAGGAAGGAGTAGAAGGGGTCTGACCGTGGTCAGAGCTTGTGGAGCCTGTGCGGGGCGATGAGGGTCTGCATGCCGAACATCTTGACCACCTTCTGGCCCATTACTCTCTCCAGCGTGGGGTCGCAGATCACCATCGTTTTCTTCGTGGGGTCCTGTAGGATGAATAGGGGCAGAAGGGGGGGGTGTACTCATAGTCGTGCATGCCGTAGTCGTTAGACCATTGACCTTGCATCCCTACAAAGCCGGGACGGAGCACGCCGGGTTCTCACCGGACCAGGCTCTCACATCACCAAGCGCGAAGCGCCGTGAGGTATTCGGCGAGTCGCATGAAGGGTGAGCTGCATCCTGCTAAGGGTGTTCGGCATCTTGTATTACTTGCTTGCGTACGGATGACAGATACGTATGACTGAATTTATTTTCTGGTGCTTTCACTTCCAGAGACAGTTGTAAGCACTGTGTAACTGCCTCTGGGAAGCTTGACCATTTTAACACAACGTGGTGCGATCATCCCCCGTTGCGCGGAGTGAGGTTTCTCGACCCCGCACAACATGATCTACTCGACCACCATTTATGGTTACCGCCAAAAAAAAAAACCGAGGTAAAAAAAAAAACGGTAACCTGGTTGCCGAGTTCACGAAGTGAATTGGCTTGTTTTACAACGTCGTTGCCAAGCGACGAAAACCCAATCCCGATGGCACCGGGGGGGGGGGGGGGGTTGTTTTACAACGTCCTTTCCAAACGACAAAAACCCAACCCCCATGGGAAAAACCGGGGGGGGGGGCTTGTTTTACAACGTCGTTGCCCAGGGACAAAAACCCCACCCCCATGGGAAAAACCGGGGGGGGGGGCTTGTTTTTAAATGTCCTTTCCCAACGACAAAAACCCCACCCCCAAGGGAAAAACCGGGGGGGGGGGGGGAATTTTAACCTTTGCCCCCCAACCCCTACAAACCGGGGGGG